CGCCTCCCCGTCACATCTCGGGGACGCTCTCGGTACTGCTCCCCCGGCCTTTCCGGGGAGCTTCCACACCGCCCCAGGAGGGCCCAAAAGGCTTCCCAGGAGCAGAATGCGAAAGGATGGTCCATGACACTCCTAAGCAACCCAAATCAGCCTTCCGAAGGCTCTCGAGGCTCCCAGGTGGCCTCCAAGAGACCCCAAGAGAGGTCCGAGAGGCGTCCTGGAAGGGACGAACAGACCCAAATCGTCGATGTTCATTGTTTTTGTTTAATGTTTTTGACTTCTCGCGCTTTCGAGCTTCCAACGGGCGCCGAAGAGCCGCCCAAGACCGCCCTAAGACCACCCAGGAGACCTTCAGGACGGCCCCAAGACGGGGCAAGAAGGCTCCAAGACTGCCGAAGAGGCGCCCAGGAGAGCCCCAGACCACCCCAGAACAGGCCCAAGATGGGCCCAAGAGCGGGAGCAGGAGGCTTCAGAGACCTCCGAGAAGCCTCCGGGCCCCCCCAGAGGCCCCCAACACACCCCCGATCTTTGAGAGGCCCCAAAAAGACCCCGACGAGGCCCAAGAACGGCCCAAGAGAACTGCGAGAGCCGTCCCAAGAGAGCCCAAAGAGGGTAAATTCGCTGATGTCCACTAGTTTTTTGTTAATGGTTTTCGCCTTCTCACGTTTCCCCGCTTCCAACCCTCGAAGATCGAGGATCTCGAGAGAGGAAGAAAAATGGAATTCCCATAATTCCCTGTTTTTTCAAAGTGGCACTCCTATTCGCAGTTCCCACACATCCCTGACATCTGGCCGGTACCGCGCCTCCCGGCTTCCCGGGTGGCCCCCAAAACGCCCAAGGACAGCCCAAGACGACCCCAAGGAGCCCCCAAAATGTAAAGAACCGCCCAACACGCTCCCGCGCAGCCCGAGATACCTTTCCGATGGCTCTCCATGCCTCCAGGAGGCCTCCAGAATCCCCAGGGGGTCCAGAAGATCCCACACCCCTGAGGGGCACGGCTCACAAAACCCGCGAGGCACAAACAAAAAACAGCGGCGAACAGTGCCGAGGAATTGGAAAAAATGGAGATCCCCCAAATTCCTTCTTTTTTTCAAGTTTGGCCCCCGGTCTAATCTTGCACAACAGACCACAATTCAGACCCCTCTCGCCTCCCGGAAAAGAACCCAGGAAGCCTTTGAGGGTCCCAAATCGTTGAATACCTAACGGAAATTAATGATTTCTGTGCTTCCGTACTTCCCTTTCTATACGATTCCGATGCTTGCGCAGGGCCTCCAAGGGGGTCCCTGGACGCAAGAAGCAACCACAATGATGTTACATGAGTTAGCCTATGAAGCCTAGCTAAAATTTGAGCGCGCGCGAAGCGCGCGCGATGGTTCTAGTGTGTATGTGTCTGTGTATATGTGTATATATATATATGTATGTATGTATGTATGTATGTATGTATGTATGTATGTATGTATGTATGTATGTATGTATGTATGTATGTATGTATGTATGTATGTATGTATGTATGTATGTATGTATATATACATATATACATATATGCATATATGTACTTATATATATATATATATATATATATTCCCCAATCAGACCTTGTCTCTGTAGGGATACTAGCGGATTAATACTGTTAGGTGAGGTTAGTCATCGATTCCGCGGCCCGCCCGGGTGCCTTATAGCCTTTATAGCCATATAGCCCTATAGCCCTATAGCCTTATATCCATATAGCCCTATAGCCCTATAGCCCTATCGCCCTATAGCCCTATAGCCCTATAGCCCAATAGCCCTATAGCCGTATAGGGCCTATAGCCCTATAGCCCAATAGCCTTATAGTCGTATAGCTTTATAGCCCTATCGCCCCAGGGTCGTACAGCTCTATAGCCCTATAATATAGCCCTAAAGCCTATAGCCCAATAGCCATATAGCCCCTTATGGCCCTATAGCCCTATATCTCTATGGCCCTATAGCCTTATAGCCTTGTAGCCCTATAGCCCTGTAACCCTATAGTTCTTATATGCCTATAGCCCTATAGCCCTATATCCCTATAGTCCTATAGTCCTATAGCCCTATAGTCCTATAGCCCCGTAATCCTATAGACTCATAGCCCTGTAGCCCCAGAGCCCCAGAGCCCCATAGCCACATAGCCCTTTAGCCCTACAGCCCTATAGCCCTATGGCCCTCTAGCCCTATAGCCCTATAGACCTCTAGCCCAATGGCCTTATAGCTCCATAGCCCTGTAGCCCCATAGCCCCATCGCCCTATAGCCCCACCTGGGACCCCCCTCCGAAACGGGACCCCCAGATGCGTGGCCCCGCGTGCCCCTTGGACGCCCCTGCAGGAGGCCTCCCAATCTTTTTAGAGCTCCTGGAAGCCCTGGCTGGGCCCAGGCAACGGGCACAAGTCGGTCAGGAGGGCAGCCGAACGCCCCCTCAAGGGCCCCAAGAGGCCCCAGACACCCACCAGACGCCCGAATACGACCCCCAAAAGACCCCAAGAGGCTTTCAAACATCAGAAAAACATTGATTGCGAAGGCCTTACGGCCGGTGCCGCCGACCCTGAAGACGACGAAGATGAAAACGAGGGTGAGGAGGAGCAGGAGGAGGAGGAGGAGGAGGAGGAGGAGGAGGAGGTAGAGGAGGAGCAAGAGGAGGGGAGCAAGGGGGGAGGAGGAGGAGGAGGAGGAGGAGGAGGAGGAGGCCTCCGGGGCGGAGTCGTATCTGACCCCCCCCCCGGGACCCCCCCCCCGACGGGGCAGGGATCAAAGGGAAGGGGCTTCCCTTTGACGTGGTTACGACGTGGGTCGATTTCCCTCAAGGCCGCTAGAGCACTGCAAAGACGACGACGACGACGACGACGACGAGGACGAACAACCCCTCACACGCCGACACAGGGTCGGCGGATTTCCTAAGGTTTTGGCGTGATTTTGGGAATGCCCTGTTCTTCGGTCTTCTAGGCGTCTGAGATCGCCTGCGAGGCCCGAAAATCGCCCCAAAACTATCCGAAATGGCTTCCAGGCAGTTCAAGAGAGCCCCAAGACGGCACAACAGGGTTCAAGATCGCCTACGAGAGCCCCATGACGGCCCAAGATGGCCCCGAGCCGAGACACCCTCCGAAGCATTCCAAGTCGTGACCTGGTCGTTCAGGTAGACCGCGGTTGGAGGCAGGGTGGCTCGAGGAAGCCCCCTGAGGCTCCCAGAAGACGCCCAGGAGGCTCCAGAAGGCTTTCAGAAAGCCTTAAGAACTTCCGCGAGGCCCCCAGAGGTTCTCCAAGGAGGAGGCTCCGGAATAAGAGCTGAGAAGGATGGGGAAGAATTCGTAGGGTAGGTCGAGAATGAGGAAACAGAAACATGGAGGAATGATAATGCATGAAATTATTGTAACGGCGATGCCGGAAAAGGGAGCAAGGAGTTATCGTTAAATTGTTTGTTTGACCTTCCTGACCTTCCGCCTGCATGCCAAACTTCAGGGACCAAGGTGCATGGCGCGAAGCGCCAAGAGGCAGAGAGAGAGAGAGATGGAGAGAGACAGAGAGAGAGGGAGATAATCAGACAAAGAGAGCCCCACAGGGGGCCCAAAGCGACCCCGGGAAAACCCGCCACAGCCCGAGAAAGTGGGATCGCACGGCCCGTCTGCCAGCGATGTGGCCCATAAGGGAGAACGTGTCTTGGATTCTTTCGGCGTCGAGGAAGCTGGACGGGTTACCCACGCGGATTGTCCGCCCTTTGTGGTTGTCAGCTTCGTCTCGGCGAAATTCTTTGCTGGCGGGAGCGCCGCGTCTTCGATGTCCTCGGCGTCCTCGCAGTTGATGTCGTGGATCAGGTTGCCCAGGAAGGCTTCCCTCTTGCGGGCGTCGTACTCGGGCCTGTGGGCCGTCGTACCTTCTCCTGGTCCATGGGCTGCGCTCTTTCTGCTAGTGCCGGGTCCTCCCCCGTCCAAGGTTCTTCAGGCCTCTCTGGGCCATCGTCCTCCACCTTGGACTGTGCTGCCAGAGCAGCCCGGGCCTGGTTCAAGTCGCTCCGCTGGTGCTCTCGGTAGCTCTGCCTGTTCCAGTCGTAGCTTTGGTGCTCTAGACTGTTGTTCGCGTGTCCCGTGGCTGCTCTGCTGGTTTCAGTCGCAGCTCTGCCGGTGCTCAGGGGAGCTCTGCTTGTTCTTGATGTCGTAGCTCTGCTGGCCGGCGCTGGTGTTGGCGCGCTGGTCGTTGTTTTGGTGCGCTTCGGTAGATGTACGGGCTTGCGGGCACCCGTGGCGGCAGCTCGCAGTAGAGTGGGCTGTTGTCAAAGTCTTCGACTACGCTGTCGAACAAGACGGTGTTGCCACACACGCAGGCAGGCTAGTGGTATGTGATGCTGGCGCCAATGCCATTTCGGGTTTTCACCTCCTCGCTATAGCCAATGACACCCGCGATATGGTCGCCTGCTGGCGAGACGACGGGCGCAACGGTGTTGAAGGTGAAGGTGCCATTCTTGGTCGCACCGACGACTCTGCGTGATCGTCGTCGTGATCGTTGTCGAAGTTCTCGTCGTCGTCCCAGCTTGGCGCCTCTGCCACCGTCAGCCGCCCAAGGGGCGGCACGGGAAGTGTCTGCGGCTCCCCCGTGTGGATACCGGCAGTTGTACGTCGCCCATCGATCGAGTTTTCGAGATTCAAGGTTTCGATTCAGTATGCCTTCGTACTTCAGGCTTCCGCCAACTTTTTCCGAACGGTCTGCATGCATTCGTGACATGTTATTCGCGTGTTCCTGGTCCAATATTTCAGCATGTGTGACACAATTCTTGTTCATTATTGTCCCGGTCTGACCAGGCGCCTCGCGTCATTCATCAATGGTCAGGCCTCTGCGGCCGGTTGGCAGACAGTTCGTTCTCGTGTATCTAAATGTTATGTGTGCGCCCGTGTGTTGTCGGCCAAGGGTTCGGTCTGTCTGTGTCACGGCGGTTTTTTCTGACGGATCAGAGCCGCGAGTCTTTGGGCTTAGCTCCGTTGGGCCCTTGCCACCGCCCGAGGTGGCAGTCCACCGTCGCGGCAGAGCAGAGCGAGAAAGAGAGGATGTTGGCGACAGCGGCAGACGCCCTCGGGATTGGTGTCGACACGCTGAAGGTGAAGGACCGTGCGTGAAAGGGTGCATGGCTCACTGGTCCGAGGCCTGGACTTATTCATCCATTTCGGGAACAGATCTCCCAGCACATCCAGTCGCATGTGATCTGGATATTTTCGGGACCCAGGGGATCCGAAGATGCCCATATGTTATATATATAGATATATATATATATATACACAAGATGTTGTTGGCTCGCTTCGCTTCGCCACAACATCTTGTCCCTCATCCTCATCCTTGGCGCAGGAACGCGGGTCTGGTACCTCGCCGCGCTATGTGGTCACAGCATGTGGCGAGCTCGTGAATTTTCATTGCCATAGGGGTGTAAACTTGATGTTTGTCGCGAACTCGACGGCTCAGGGCTGCGTGTGTGTGTGTGTGTGTGTGTTTTTGTGAGGAGTGAACATGTTTGGAAGTGAAGAACCACCCGACGGGCCGAACCAATGTGTGGTTCACGTCGACGGCTGTTTTTTCTTCGGGGCCCCAGATGGGAGCGTCTGGCGCTCTGCGGGCACGCTGGCGCCGAGGGGCCGTCGTGTGCGAGCGTGTGTGTGTGTGTGTGTGTGTGTGTGTGTGTGTGTGTGTGTGTGTGTGTGTGTTTGTTTTCGGTAAGGGATGAGCATGTGCGCGGACGCAGAGCCACCCGACGGGCCGAACCAATTTTTGGTTCACGCTGACGGTTGTTTTTTCTTTTTCGTGCTCGGGATGGGGGGCGTCTGGCGCCCTCCGGGCACGCTGGCGTCGAGGGGCTGTCGTGGGTGTGGGTTTTCGTAAGGAAAGAGCATGTCCCAGGGCGCATATATATATATATATATATATATATATATATATATATATATATATATATATATATATATATACACACATATCCCTGGGGGCGAGGCCGGGGGCCCCAGAACAGGTGCCCCCACCCCCCATGGGGGGACCGGGGCTCATTTCCCTTGTGTTTTTACAGGGTTTCCGCGTCCTGGGCCTCGGAGGCCGCCGCCTCCGACCCCCCATGGGCCAGGAGGGCCTCCAGAGGCTCCCAAGACGGCCCAAGCGGGCCCCGAGTCGCCGAAAGACCGCTCCAGGACGCCCAAGATAGGCCCAAGACGGCCCGAGAGGCGCCCCAAGGCACTCCACGACGCTTCAAGACGCCTCTCCAGAGCGCTTCCAGAGGCCGAAATCGTCAATTTTACGAAGGTTTTCGAACGGTATTGGCCTTCCAGCCTTTTCGGCTGTCCGACGTTCCAAGATGGCTCAATAGGCCCCCAAGAGCGCCCCAAGACGGCCCAAGAGGGCCCCAAGACGGCCCCAGAGTCGCCCAAGACAGCCCAACAGAGCCCCAAAACGGCCCCAAAATGCGCCCAAGAAGGGGACCACGACTCCAAAATTCGACCCTCTGGCTTCAAGAGTGCCCCAGGAGGCCCCAAGGAGCCCCCAAGAGGCCCCAGGATGCCCCCAACAGGCACCCAGGAGGCCCAAACGAGGCCTACAGAGGCCACAAAACAGCCCCGAGGAGGCCCCACAACGGTCCCAAAACAGCTACCGAGAAGCTGCGAAACTGCCTTCACGACGTCCCCGACAGGCCAACCACGAGATCCAAAGCAACACCCATGAGGCCTCTGACCCACCACCCAGGGCACGGTGGCGGCAGCAGTGACAGCACTTGTGCACAGCATGTTCCGGCGGGAGCCTTCCGGAACACGCTGCAGGAGGAGGAGGAAGATCAGGAGGAGAGAGAGCTGGAGTGGGAGGAGGAGGAGGAGGGGGACAAGGAGGAGGAAGAGGCCTCCCAGACAGCTCCAAGATAGCCGAAGAGGCTTCCAAGAGGGCCCTGGGCGGCCCACGAGGGCCCCAAGGCGGTGCCTGAGGCACCCAAGACGGCCCGAGAGGGCCCCGAGACGGCCCCAAGAGAGGCCCAAGAAGGGAAACACGAACTGAGAATCCGAGGTTTCTACCCCGAGAGGGTCTCGGGAAGTCCCAAGAGGCCCCCAATCGGATCCAAGAGGCCCCCAGGAAGCTCCCAAGAGGGCCGACGAGGTTCCAAGAGATCTCCCAAGGTGGCCCCAAGAGGCACAACACATTGTTTTACGATTGGGCGTTGACGTTTTTTCCCAACCATCCTGTGGTGTTGGGTCCTCGTTTTGAAGAGACGGTGCCCCGCGTCTCTCCTCCTCTCCTCCTCCTCCCCCTCCTCCTCCCTCCTCCTCCTCCTCCTCCTCCTCCCATCCCTGCCTCTGCCCCCCGCATGTTCGCTGTTTCGGCACACCCTTCACACGTTTCGCGGCCCCATAGGGAGCTCCACCGAAGGCCCAAGTGTCAGGGTCCGCATGCGGTTCCACCTCCTTTTTTCGGCGCACCACTCACACGTTTCGTGGCCCCATAGGGAGCTCCACCGAAGGCCCAAGTGTCAGGGTCCGCATGCGGTTCCACCTCCATTTCGGCGCACCCCTCACACGTTTCGTGGCCCCATAGGGAGCTCCACCGAAGGCCCCAGTGTCAGGGTCCGCATGCGGTTCCACCTCCATTTCGGCGCACCCCTCACACGTTTCGTGGCCCCATAGGGAGCTCCACCGAAGGCCCAAGTGTCAGGGTCCGCATGCGGTTCCACCTCCATTTCGGCGCACCCCTCACACGTTTCGTGGCCCCATAGGGAGCTCCACCGAAGGCCCCAGTGTCAGGGTCCGCATGCGGTTCCACCTCCATTTCGGCGCACCCCTCACACGTTTCGTGGCCCCATAGGGAGCTCCACCGAAGGCCCAAGTGTCAGGGTCCGCATGCGGTTCCACCTCCATTTCGGCGCACCCCTCACACGTTTCGTGGCCCCATAGGGAGCTCCACCGAAGGCCCCAGTGTCAGGGTCCGCATGCGGTTCCACCTCCATTTCGGCGCACCCCTCACACGTTTCGTGGCCCCATAGGGAGCTCCACCGAAGGCCCCAATGGCAGGGTCCGCATGCAGTTCCACCTCCATTTCGGCGCACCCCTCACACGTTTCGTGGCCCCATAGGGAGCTCCACCGAAGGCCAAGTGTCAGGGTCCGCATGCGGTTCCACCTCCATTTCGGCGCACCCCTCACACGTTTCGTGGCCCCATAGGGAGCCCACGAAGGCCCAAGTGTCAGGGTCCGCATGCGGTTCCACCTCCATTTCGGCGCACCCCCACACGTTTCGTGGCCCCATAGGAGCTCCACCGAAGGCCCAAGTGTCAGGTCCGATTGCCGTTCCACCTCCATTTTGCCTAAGGCCCAAGCCCCAGGGTCCGCATGCGGTTCCACCTCCATTTCGGCGCACCCCTCACACGTTTCGTGGCCCCATAGGGAGCTCCACCGAAGGCCCAAGTGTCAGGTCCGCATGCGGTTCCACCTCCATTTCGGCACACCCCACACGTTCGTGCCCCATAGGGAGCTCCACTCCCAAGTGTCAGGTCGCCAGCGGTTCAACCTCCTTTCGGCGCACCCCACACGTTTCGTGGCCCCATAGGGAGCTCCACCGAAGGCCCCAGTGTCAGGGTCCGTTTCATAGGGCACCCCTCACACGTTTCGTGGCCCCATAGGGAGCTCCACCGAAGGCCCCAGTGGCTGCGCCCGCATGCGGTTCCACCCCTTCACACGTTTCGTGGCCCCATAGGGAGCTCCACCGAAGGCCCCAGTGTCAGGGTCCGCATGCGGTTCCACCTCCATTTCGGCGCACCCCTCACACGTTTCGTGGCCCCATAGGGAGCTCCACCGAAGGCCCAAGTGTCAGGGTCCGCATGCGGTTCCACCTCCATTTCGGCGCACCCCTCACACGCTTCGTGGCCCCATAGGGAGCTCCACCTGAGGCCCAAGTGGCAGGGTCCGCATGCAGTTCCACCTCCATTTCGGCGCACCCCTCACACGTTTCGTGGCCCCATAGGGAGCTCCGCCTAAGGCCTAAGTGGCAGGGTCCGCATGCAGTTCCACTTCCATTTCGGCGCACCCCTCACACGTTTCGTGGCGTCATAGGGAGCCCCGCCTAAGGCCCAAGTGGCACGGTCCGCATGCAGTTCCACCTCCATTTCGGCACACCCCTCACACGTTTCGTGGCCCCATAGAGAGCTCCGCCTAAGGCCCAAGTGGCAGGGTCCGCATGCAGTTCCACCTCCATTTCGGCGCACCCCTCACACGTTTCGCGGCCCCATAGGGAGCTCCACCGAGGGCGCCAATGGCAGGGTCCGCATGCAGTTCCACCTCCATTTCGGCGCACCCCCCACACGTTTCGTGGCCCCACAGGGTGCTCCACCGAAGGCCCCAGTGGCAGGGTCCGCATGCAGTTCCACCTACATTTCGGCGCACCTCTCACACGCTTCGTGGCCCCATCGGGTGTTCCACCAACGACGATACTTACAACGGCGGCATTTGGAATTGCGTATGGTTGGGCCCTTCGCCAGGATAATTGTCTGCCTTTTGGCATCCCGATGCTCCAAGACGGCCCAAGAGGCTTCCAATACCGCTCCCATATAGAGGAAGAGGCCTCCAAGAGGGCCCCAAGACGGCCCGCGAGGGCCCCAAGACGGTGCTTGAGGCGCCCAAGACGGCCCGAGAGGGCCCCACGAGCCCCAAGAGAGGCCCAAGAAGGGGAACGCGACCCAACAGCAGAGCGGTCCCCCCACAAGGCCCACAGGAGGCCGCAAGAGGCCCCCAAGTGGTCCGACGAGGACCCCAAAAGCTTCCCCGAGGGCCCACAAGGCCCCTGAGAGACGTCCAAGAGGTTTTAAAATAGCCCAAGAGTGCCCCAAATGCATCAAAACTGCTTCCAGGAGGCCCCTGGGAGGCTTCCGGATTGCCTCAATCTGGCCACAGGTGGCCTCAAGTCGGGCCTCCATGCAGCCAAGACGGCCAATGACGGCTTCAGATTGCAGAACCGATGCCCCCAAGGGACCCTCAGACGCCCCCCCAAGAAGCACCCAAGAGGTGCCTCCAACAGCCAGTTGACGAAGCATGCGGAACACCCTAGAAGATCCTCAGATGCCGTCGCGCGCCTGTGCTTGATAGCGTTGTCCAA